ACTCAGCTAGAGGCAAGGATGGAAGAATTGGAAACGGCGACAAAGGATTTGGAGGTGGATTTGCAATCTACCAGATCGCAACTGGAAGCAGAGAAAAAGCTGTCAGTGGAGATGGGCAATCAGCTAGGACTTGAGATGGAAAGGAGTACGCAGTTGGAGGCAAGAGTTGAGGAGTCGGAAGGAACAACAGCAAGCTTGGAAACGGAATTGGCAGCGACGAAGGCGGCATTAGAAACAGCGGAAAAGGAAGCGGAGGCATCGAGTTTGACATTCAAAACGGAGAAGGCCTTGCTTGACGAAAGACTGCTTGCGGCCGAAAGTCAACTGCAGCTGGAGACGCAGCAGAGGACTCAACTGGAAAGAACAGCCGAAGAGTTGCAGGGGAGGAGGAAAAGTTTGGAGGCGGAATTGCAGTCTGTGAAGTCCGACTTGGAAGCCGAGAAGAAACTCTCCCTTGAGATCGGAGGCCAGCTAGGACTGGAGATGGAAATGAGGACGCAACTGGAAGTGAGAGCTGAAGAGTTGGAAAGAACAGTAGAGGAGTTGGAGGCGGAATTGAACGTTGCAAGGTCCGCCCTCGACACGGATACGTCAGAGTCAGGCCTGAACAGGAAGTTGGTCGAGGTTAGAAATCAACTCGAGCAAGAAACGAAGCTGAAGGCTCAACTGGAGACGGAAGTGATGCAATTGCAGAGCACAACAAATCGTCTGGAGGGAGAAGTAAAGCGCTTGGATGAAGATTTACAATCTACCAGATCGGAATTGGCAGCAGAGAAGAATGTTGCGGCGGATCTTGGGGCTCAACTGGGACTTGAAATGGAAAAGAGGACTCAGGTGGAGGCGGACCTCGAAGAGTCTGAAAGAATAGGAAAGAAATTGGAAATGGAGCTGCAGGCACTGTCATCATTGCAGGCTCCAGAGAACAATCTTGCAGCAGGCAAGAAAGTGGCTGCTGGAACGGGGACACGACAGCAGCAGCTCCCGGCGGCGGAGCCAACAACAAGGCAACCTGAGGCAGAAGAGGAGTCAGAGAGCATGAGGAAAGCTCTCGAGGAACATATCATATCTACCAGGATGGAGTTGGCCAAGGAGAAGGAAGCCGCGGAGGATATAGCGGGGAAGCTAGGACTTGCAATGGAAGAGAATGCTTTTCTGGAGGCCAGGGTACAGGAGCTCGAAAGCGAGGTGGGATTACTAACTACGAACCGTAAAGCTGTGAAGGGTGCGGAAGCTCGAAGAGAGCTCAAGAATTTCAGGTCGGTTATGGAGAGCAGAGTGGAGCAGCTTGAAAGAAACACACTGGGCTTGGATGCGGAGCTCGCGTCTACCAGATGTGCACTCGCAACCGAGAGAAAACACGCAGCTGAAGTTGAGCGCAAGCTAAGGATCGAGATCGAACAAAGGTCTTGGCTGGAGACGAGACTCAAGGAATATGCAAGTTTGGTCAGCAGTGTGGAGAGGGAACTGAGAACTTCTCCAAAGACGGCGTTTTCCGCATTAGAAGAGAAGAAGAAGCCAGGCGTGGACGACAACCTGTTTGATGTAGAAAGCCAAGTCGATAGCGAGCTTGACGGGCAAACGCAGCAAGAGCAGAAGGATGAGGAGGAGGAGGGGCTCGGAAGAATGACTCGAGACGTAGGAGGCCTCGATGACTTGCAATCGGAGGAGGCAGTGACTCGAGACGTAGGAGGCCTCGGTGACTTGCAATCGGAGGAGGCAGTGACTCGAGACGTAGGAGGCCTCGATGACTTGCAATCGGAGGAGGCAGTGGCGCAGACGAAACATGCAGCAGATGATGTTGGAGGGGAGGCAAGGCTCGATGAAGAAGGCGTAGCTATGTTGCAGATGGAGGAGACGAGAGGAGGAGGAGAAGACTCCGAAAAAGCGGTTTACATTTCCGAAACGAAATCAGTGGCAACAAGAAGGTGGTCATCATCTTCCATGGAGGAAAACTCAGACGCGGCGAACCGACTGCTTGAAGCCGTGAAGCTTGCGATGTCCAGGTGCATGCAGCTGGAGAAGAAAGCGGAGGAGCTTGAGAGAGAGAACGAGAACTTGGGTGAGGATTTGGTGTCCATGAGGCTGGCTTTGGAAGCAGAGAAGAAAGGTTCGTGTGAGGCTGGAGGCAAGCTAAGCATTGAAATTCAACAAAGAACTCAGCTGCAGAAGAGAGCAGAGGAGCTTGAAAGAGCAGTGGATGAACTGGAAACCAAGTTGCGAACTGTGCGGTTGGAATTAACAGCGGAGAAGGAAACTCTCGAGGGGAAGCTGGAGAAGGTGACAGCTGAACTGCAGCTGGAGATTGACGGGCGAAGGGATAGGGAGAGGAGAGTGGAGGGGCTTGAAGGAATGGCGAAAGACTTGGAGGCAATGGAGGGGGAATTAATGTCCTCCCAATCAGCATTGACCGCAGAAAAGGAGCACACAGCTGAGATGAAACGGAAACTTATCTTCGAGATTGAACAGAAGGATCAGCTGAAAAGGAGAGTTGATGAGTATGAAACAGCTGCAAAGAATTGGGAGGTGCAATTAATCTCTGCCCAATCGGCGTTGACCGCAGAAAAGGAGCACACGGCTGAGATGAAACAGAAACTTATCCTCGAGATTGAACAGAAGATCAGCTGAAAAGGAGAGTTGACGAGTACGAAACAGCTGCAAAGAATCGGGAGGCGCAATGGACGTCCACGTTGTCGGCATCGGAAGAAGATAAAAAGTTTGTGGAGAATAGAGTGCGGGAGTTTGAAAGTGTGAACAGGGGGTTGGAGATTGAATTAGCATCCTCCAGATCGGCATTAGTGGCAGAGAGGGAACTCACGTCGGAGATCAGATGTAAATTGAGTGCAGTGATTGAGTCGAACGATCGGCTACAAAAACGAATTGAACAATGTGAAAGCGTCGCGCGAGACCGCGAAGCGGAATTGATATCTACGATAGCAGCATTGGAAGAGGGCAAAAACGCTGGAGGGATTAGAATGGACGAGCTTGAAAGAATGACTCAGGAGTTGGAGGAGGAAGTGAAATCCATGCAATCCGCATTACTGGGGGAGCAAAAAGCGGCCGCCGCAATCAGAGACAAGCTAAGGGTTGAGACAAAAGAGAAGGATCAGCTAGAAGCTAGAGTTGAACAGTGTGAAAGAGCTGCGGAAGTTCGTGAAAAGGAATTGACGAATGCGATTTCGACGATTTCGACACTGGAAGAAGACAAAAGGTGTGCCGATTGCAGAGTGAAGGAGCTTGAAGCAATGACTGATGAGTTAGAGGTCGAATTGGCGTCGACCAAGTTGGCGTTGGCTGCAGAGAAAACACTTGCAGCTGAAGTTGCAAACAATCTAAGCGTCGAGAGGGAAAGCAGGAGCGCAATCGCAGCAAGATTAGAAGAGCTGAAGAGAGCTGCGGAAGAGCAAGAAGCACGCTTGATGTCCATGGTATCCGCATTAGAGGAAGAAAAAGGGGGAGCTGACCACAGAGTGAAGGAGCTTGAAGCAATGACTGACGGATTAGAGGTCGAACTGGCGTCGACCAAGTTGGCGTTGGCTGCAGAGAAAACACTTGCAGCTGAAGTTGTAAACAATCTAAGCCTCGAGAGGGAAAGCAAGAGCGCAATCGCAACAAGATTAGAAGAGCTGAAGAGAGCTGCCGAAGAGCAAGAAGCACGCTTGATGTCCATGATATCCGCATTAGAGGAAGAAAAAGGGGGAGCTGACCACAGAGTGAAGGAGCTTGAAGCAATGACTGACGAATTAGAGGTCGAATTGGCGTCGACCAAGTTGGCGTTGGGTGCAGAGAAAACACTAGCAGCTGAAGTTGCAAACAATCTAAGCCTCGAGAGGGAAAGCAAGAGCGCAATCGCAACAAGATTAGAAGAGCTGAAGCGAGCTGCGGAAGAGCAAGAAGCACGCTTGATGTCCATGATATCCGCATTAGAGGAAGGAAAAGGGGGAGCTGACCACAGAGTGAAGGAGCTTGAAGAAATGACGGACGAGTTGGAGGTCGAATTGGCGTCGACCAAGTTGGCGTTGGCTGCAGAGAAAACACTTGCAGCTGAAGTTGCGAACAATCTAAGCCTTGAGAGGGAAAGCAAGAGCGCAATCGCAGCAAGATTAGAAGAGCTGAAGCGAGCTGCGGAAGAGCAAGAAGCACGCTTGATGTCCAGGATATCAGCATTAGAGGAAGAAAAAGGGGGAGCTGACCGCAGAGTGGAGGAGCTAGAAAGGACGATGGCGGAGCTGAAAACCGACTTGGCTACAGCGCGGTCTGCATTAGCTGCAGAGAAGGAACTGACGGCGCAGATCGGAAACAAACTCATGTGTGAGATAGAGCGAAAGGACGAGCTGGCAGCGAGACTTGAGATGTCGGAAAAGGCTGCAAGAAATCTGGAAACGCAACTGGCATCTACCACATCAGCTTTGGAGGGCAAGGAATCTCAGGGTGGAGGTGACAGAGAGGCAAAGCTAGAAGGTCAACTGGGGTTGGAGGTGCAGAGGAGGATGCAGCTGGAGAATCGAGTGAGGGTTTATGGAAGAATGCTCAAGGACCTGGAGACGGAATTGTCGGCTGTGCGACTGGCGCTGATGGCAGAGAAGGACTTGGGGTTGGAGGCGAGTCGAAAGCTGAAGGCTGAGATTGAAGAGAAGAATAGCTTGGAAACAAAGCTAAGGGAGTTGGAAGCAGAAGCGACGGCTACAAGAATGGCTCTTGAGGATGCCAAGAGGGCTGCAGCGACCCGACTGGCCGAGGTTGATGGTCAGCTGAAAATGGAGGTTAAGAGAAGCGATCAGCTGGAGAGTAAAGTGGAAGCTTCGGAAAGAATGATGAAAGCCTTGGAAGCGCAAGTAGAGAGAGAAAGGAAGAAGAACGTGAAATGTGGGGGAAGTCGCGGTGCTCAGCGGCAGGAGCGCGAGAGTGACGGAAACAGCGAGAGGAAGGTCGAGGAGTTGGAGGGTGCAGTCAAAGACCTGGAGGATAAAGTCAGAGAACTGGAGTCGGCATTGGCATCTGCCAGACTTCAGCTGGAGGAAGAGCAGCTTGGTGATCTTGGGAAAAAGGTAACCAGGGTCTCGAGCCTGAGAAGGCGCATTCAGGCTAGACTGCAAGTGGAAATGTCTGAACGAAAGACAGACAGACCGCCCACGGTGACGTTTTCACAATACCTGAGCCATGAGCAGATCCTTCCCGATTTCCCCTCTCAGCTTATCCGAGGCGGAACGGACGACTTTGACGAGTCGAGCAAGATTGGCGAAGGGTGGTTTGGCGAGGTGTACCTCGGTGAGATTGGGGGCGAGCTCGTTGCTGTGAGAAAGCTGAATATTGGGGGTTGTCACAACCAAGAGGACTTCCGTACCGCGTGCGAGGGCGCCAATGCGCTTCGTCATCGCTGTTTGATTGAGTTTATAGGGTTATGCTCTGAGGAGTGCTGTCTTGTGACCGAGTTCGCTCGCTCCGGAAGCCTGGCGGATAGGCTCCAATGCAGTGGAGGATCTAGCCCGCTGCATTGGGAAATCCGCGTGCACATAGCGGCGGACGTGGCGGAAGGATTATCATTCTTGCATTCGCAAGAGCCCAAGCCGGTAGTGCACATGGGCATCAAGCCTTCAAACATTCTTTTAGGTGCCGGTTATCAGGGCAAGATCGCCGATCTAGGAGTTGAAGGGATAGCTTTGCAGGCAGCGAAAAACGCCGATGCCTCACAGGGTCGGAGGTTCCAAGGGTTCGGATCGGACCGAATGGTTGATTACATGGATCCTGAGGCGTTGAAGACGGGGTGCGCCTCTCCGGCGTCGGACGCGTACTCATTTGGCTTGGTGCTTCTTGAGCTCTTAACAGGGAAGAAGCCGGCGGAGTCTGTTCGTCTTGTCGAAAATTCACTGGAGGACGACCAACACCTCAAGCATGTAGTCGACAAATCAGCTGGCACGTGGAATATCGCCATTGCGTTTCAGATTGCGCAGCTGGCAATGAACTGTGTAAAGCGACCGCCGGAATGCCGACCGGACTTTCCAATGGTGATCTCCCCAATTCTCCATAAAGTCTCCAGGACCTTGAAGAGGGATGCGTGAAACGGATAGAACCGGCCTGGCATGTCTCACTTCAGAACGGCAACGTAGGAGTAGTAGACTAGTAGTAGTGCTTTTTTTTTCCCCTTTCTTTATTCCCTTTGTTCTTTTTTTTTGCTTTGCGAGGATAAGGTATGCATTTGTGCACGGCACAAAGGCGAGACCTTTTCCTTTCTGCAATAAACGCATCCGCTCACCGGAAGGTACGTTAGACGGTACCCATCGGCAAGACATACCTTTTCCGTTTGCTATCACGAGTTTTGGTATCCCTTCCCTTGTGACCTTGACCGTCCCCCGCCTTCCCCCCCCATTGTGCGTACGTGTCGTCCATTCTCCTCCTTTCTGAGTCCCTGCACTGAACTGCAATGATCCTTATTGTATAGGGACAGGATTCAAACTTTTCAAGTTTCTATGGATTGGTAGTTGTATGCGTGTACCAATTAGGGTGACCGTGGGTCCCAATGAGCCTCTCGTTATGCGATGCGCCATCACGGATGTGGCATGCATGGCCTGTTGCTAAAGCCTCTCCTCCTTTCTGCGGGGCCTATATTTACGCGGCGCACCATCACGAAGAGCCCTCTCTTCTCCCCCGGCACCCGCCAGCCCTTTCCCTCCCACCTTTTCCCCGGCACCCTCCCCATGCCTCTTTGGCTTTGCGCCTTTGCTTCCTGATATTACAGTCCAGCATTTTCAAGACAAAGGAGAGACTGGTGTTACCTAAGGCTGTGGGAAGGGACGGAACTGTCGTCTTCACGCTAATAGAACACACGCTGTGCAGTCATTATAGGTGTATTTTGGCCGACTGTCAGTCTAGATACAGTGATAATGACCGTGCGTTCTATTCGGGTGAAGATGTGCATACGGCGAGAATGACTATGTGTTCTGTCCTGGTGAAGACAAGAGGAGGAGACCACCAGTAGGAAGGCGAGTAGGAGGACGAGAGCATCAGTAGGAAGGCGAGTAGGAGGAGAGTAAGGTAACGGAGACCACCAGTAGGAAGGCGAGTAGGAGGACGAGAGCATCAGTAGGAAGGCGAGTAGGAGGAGAGTAAGGTAAGTGATGAAGTGATGTGGATACGGCGATAATGACTATGTGTTCTGTCCTGATGAGGACAATAGGAGTAGACGACCAGTAGGAAGGTGAGTAGGAGGAGAGTAGGGAGGAGAGTGGGGTAGTAGGAGGAGAGTAGGGAGGATATTAGGGTAGTAGGAGGAGAGTAGGGTGAGTGATAAAGTGAGAAGAATAGCAGCAGACACAAGTACTGTTTTCTCAGCGAGTTACTTCTTTTTCTATTACGGGTGTCTCAGCAACTTAGTTTTTTTTCCTAGTTTTTTTCCTAGTTTTTTTCCTAGTTTTTTTTCCTAGCACTGTTTTTTCAGCAACGTAGATCTTTTTTTTTTCCCCTAGCACTCTTTTCTGAGCAACGCAGATCGTTTTAGAACGAACAATGTTTTTTTTTTTCTCAGCAAAGTAGATCTTTTTCTTTTCCCTAGCACTGTTTTCTGAGCAATGTAGATCGTTTTGGAACTTTCCAATGCTATATGCTTCATCAGTGGCCTCTGTGCCACTTTGTGCCTACACACCACAACTTAGTTTTTTTTTTTTTTTTTCCCCTATGTTTTCGATGGTATGCTTCATTGCTGGCAGTTTTTTTTCTAGTTTTTAGTTTTTTTCTAAGTTTTCGATGGTATGCTTCATTGCTGGCAGTGTTTTTTCTAGTTTTCTTCGAAGTTTTCGATCGTATTCTTCATTGCTGGCAGTTTTTTTTCTTTTTTTTTTTTTCTAAGTTTTTGATGTTATGCTACATTTTTGGCCGTTTTTCTTCTGAGTTTTCGATGCCATGCTTCATTGGTTGCCACTGTGGGACTGTGCCATTGTGGGGCCTCTGCACGCCTCCTTGATGTTGTCGCTGTTGCGTACATCAGATGAATGGAGCTGTCTGAGATGTTTCATGATCAACGGTTGTAATTCAGGTAGGCAGGGTGTACATGGAGAAGGACGGAGGGGGAGGGAGGGAGAAAGAGAGGGAGAAAGAGTTTGGCACATGTTAAAAGAGGGAGGGGAAGGGGGGCGGAGAATGAGGTAATGACGTGACATGTAAAAAGGCGGAAGAGGAGGTACTAAGGACTACGAACTCTTTAGGACTCGAGGAGGAGGTATAGTTATTTTCGCTTTTTTCTTCTTTATTTATCATCAAAGAAGTGAAAGTCAGTCTAGCGGGGACTATGTAGTAAATACTAATTACTAATTAGTCATTAATAGTTTTGTTATCTTGAGGCGTAGTTTGGGAGGTCCTTCCGCAAAGATGCGCGTGAACGAGGACGCTCTCTTTTCTGTTTGTGGTCCATCTTTTCTGTATCGCGCTCAGGTTCTCTGCACCACCCGGTGTGCACATTCGCTCTACCCTGGTCGGGGTTTTCTGCACGTGGGGCAGTCGTCATCTTTTGCTGGCTCGGCCTGGCTTGGCCGGGCTTATCGTGGCTTACGGATAAACTGAGTGATGGCAGTTAGGTCGTACTGTGTGTCGTTTGAGTTTTGATGCAGCGGCAATCTGTCGATTTTGTACGTTTAGGGCCTGGATTGGGGGTCCCCACTTCCCCGTCCCCCCCCTCCCTCACCCCCCCCTCCAGGTCTTGGAACAATAATTGCTCCCATGTTGCAACTTACTGCAATGGGTTAAATATTATTAATCATCTTTTTCAGACTTTTTGTAAATAGTAGATGGGTGCAATACATCATAGAAGATGAGTCGGTGAAACTCCGACGAAACAGTTTGTCATCACAACACCCCTTGTTTGCTGTCCTCTTCTCCCTCCCTCCCTCTTCTCCCTCTCTCTGCCTACAGTTTACTGGGCAGCTTCGTTTGACAATATATATGGTATGTCAATGATCAAAAAAAAAGAAAAACATTCAAAAGGAGTAGTTTCAGTGCGCACTTCATGTTTGTTGTCTGTATTTTAGTATTTTCATCAATTTTTCGGTTTTTTTCTTTTTCATTTTTTTTTTTTTTTTTTTTCCGCAAACTGTAGAGGGGTGCAATATATAGATGGTATTTCATAGATATGTGACAATGCATGTTTATGTCACTGATCAAAAGAATGGTTTCGGTGTGCTCTTCATGTTTTGTTGTCTTCATTCCCACCATTTTTTTATTTATTTTTTTCTGTCTTCTCTTTTTAAAACTTTGTCGTTTGTTTCTCAAAGTGTGCACTTTTAGTTGATAACTTGATATGTATGTGATTTCCCTATATATATATATCTGTAGAGTTTTCTATCTGGTGTGGGTGAGTGATAGTCTACTTTGATTTTGGTTAAGGTAGATTATCATTTACAGTGTAATCAGTGAGGGGATTCTGCAGACTGTTGAGGGTTCAGCCTCCTGATGAGTCG